CTGCCTGTTCTTGTAACCTCCCAATACTGCACAACCACTTTGTGTCCCTTCCTGTGATCTTGTTTGCTGTGAAGAACCTGCTGTGGCTTCTAGGTATGACTTTTATTCGAGCATTTTGTAGTTTGTTTTGCCCAGCCAAATGAGGAAGGACCTGGGGTCTGAAAGTAAAGTGCAAAGACCATAAAATATAAATGGTTAGAAAAATAGCAGCCTCATTAGTTCTCACAGCACTTTTAAAATTAATAATTCCTGTCTTTACCACTGAATGTTTCGGAAACACTTACGGTAATTATTGCTCCGAAACAGACTGCTCCTCTTGAAAAGCTTTTTAAAGGACTGATAACCTTATGGGTGAAGAAATAAATATGTACATAAATTCAGGCCTTATAAACACAAAGATCTTCATAAGGTAACACACAGAGCCATTTTGGGGCTCTATTTAATGTTTAGTTTCCTAAAAATTAGGACAGAGCTGCAAGGTATCAAATCAAATATAATTTTTTCCAAGTGTGGAGGGAGATTCAGACCCTCCAAAAAGATACTTTACATGATTAGTTTTCTTTCCAGGATCATAAGGTTTGTTGTTTTTTTCTGTTTTGTGGTGTAGATTTTTTTTTTAATGGAACAAGTATATTCTACTTCTGTTGTATTCAAAATTACTTACCCTTATTTTATCATCTGTGTTCTTTTCTCTACCTGCACCATGTCATCGAGAAGCAGAGGTCTAATTAAAAAAAAAAAATCAGCCTGAAGTAAGGTAACTTCAGAATAGGGATTTTGAATATAGAAATGTTAGAGCACTTTTAACGTAACTTTTGCTGTTCCGGCTTATACTGTATTTAGAGAGAACATAATGTGCTGTACATATTTAATTAAGAGTGAATTCTGGAACTCATTTGTTGCTTTCATTAAAAGAAATTTTATGCCAATAACTGACATTGTTAACATGTGCTTGTGCTGTTTTGCATTTCCCCTCTTTGTTCCTTGGTTCGATCTGTCATGATTATAGATTTGTTTTGTTTTCTTCTCATGTTAGTTAGCCCTTTCTGTTCTTTCTGTAAAGCATCTCCTGCTCATGTATTACAATGCTGCTTATTTCCACAACATCTCTTGGGCTAACTTCTTAGTGGTAAGTGAGAATTCTATAAATTCCACTCTTGCTTTGAGGGAAATGAAAACTAAATTCCTAGTGTTCTTCTGAGTTGCAGGGGAAGGTTTTAAAATATGACCCTGTCCACTTGAAACACTGAGGTCCACTTCCCGACAAAATCCCATTATAGACATTAATGATATTTAAACTACTTCCATGGTATGCTGTTGACAATGCCAAAATATATTTGTTAAAATGGAAACTTACATTATTACTAAGTCTTGATAAGATTTAATAACCCTTTTCTAAAATTCCTATTGGTGGGATTCTACAGCAAAATAATAAAAGCCCTATGAGCCTTGTGGACCATCTTATATCATTTAGTTATCCTTTACAGTGTTTAATGAGAGGGAAGAAAGGACATTTAATTGTTTTATCAGATGTCAAACTAGCTTAAAGAGCTATAGCCAGTTAGAAAATTTATTTAGCGTCACAGTTTGTGACAGATTCAAAGGCCACTTATTTGCAACAATCGGCAAAAATCCTTCAGTGGGTTAGATACAAAAAAAGTCCTCAGTAGCAGAACTGGTCCTTATTATGTACTGGAAGAGCTGTGTGTAGAGTTTGCAGGCTTACTTAATTTTGCTGTGACTTGCAAATTTTCAGTTGAATTGCAATTAATATTTGTGTTGACCATTGATACAATATAGAGTATCTGCAATTAAGCTATAGCTAATGTTTGGCAATTGGTATTACTTAAAACTAGATGTAAAATAATCAATCTATTTGCAATTATAATCCTATTTTACACTGATATGTTTTATCATGTTAAGACAATTTTGTAGAAAGGTCATTTACTTCAGTCATGATAGTAGTCAGAGGCTGAAATAGCTGGCATTGCTCTCGTTGTTACTTATGATGAATGTTTGCTGTTAGTAATAAATTGCCATACATACTTAGGCGCACATGCACACACACTCAAACAAAACCCCATGATACCTGCCTTTCAGTTAACATCCTGGTATTTCCCACTATGAAAAGTACAAGACTCTCCTGCTGTCCAGTTTGAAGGCCTTTCTGCTGCTTCTAAGGACATCTTGGAGTGTGTTTCAAGTTTAATCCCCTTTTCCGTCAGATCCTGGCCGGATTATTGTACACTGTCATCTAAGATTACTCATTACTGATTTATCTTGAAGACTGCATTTTAAGGAAACTACAATTTTTTGTGTCTTGCTTTCATGTCATATTATCCACCATTCACACGAAAAGCATTTTTCATTAGTAACGTGCCTGTTTACTGAGGATGAGGAAGACAGACCCATGGAATGATACTAAAATCACTTGGTGCTGTAAGGAATTTTTTCACTTCATTGTAGGAATTTTTTTTTTCTTTGAATTATGAGTGTGAGACTAGCTGACAGTGTTGAACACTACTTGTTATATACTATGAAATGAAAAATTAATCTGAATTATTTTCCCAAAAAAGATTTTTCCTGATGTCACATGGCACTTGGCCCCATAAGGGGACTGAGGTTTGCGGATATAGACACCTATGAAATAATTCTTTTCACAAGGACCTGATACCAAAACTGGTTTTGCAGCTACAATTACATGAAGCCCTCTTAGACGCATGCAAAGTTTTAGCATGGAATGAAGCCCGAGTCAGCCCCAGTCAAAATGCTGTGATGGGTATTTGCATGTGCGTGCCCTTCCTTTTCTCTAGAAAAGGATATCTGTTCTGTGACTTTAGTGAATTGAAGGAAGAGTTACTCATAACCCAAATTATTCTGCACGTCTTTCACCAGATAAGATTGAAAATATGGAGAAAAGTCACTGCCAGGACACAGGGTCTCTAATCTCTTGCCTCATATACAGTGCATAAATAAAGTATAAATCACAGGTAAAGCTCTTCCTACATTGTTCTAGATTAGCATGAACATTTGGTGTAATAGTTAACAGAACAGAAAAATGTATTCAATAGACAATATTAACTGTCTTGCTAACACAGTTATGCTGTGTAAAATTAAGGTAAAAAACCAATATGGATTATATTATATATGCAAGAATCTGCAAAAAATACTACCAGGATTGTTTATACTGTGATGCATTTTAAACTCTTTTATATTGATTAACAATTTACAGTGTAGCAGTAATTACAACAGTTATGTTTAAAGCTTTTAGCTACTATTTAAAAAAAATTAGTAAGAATCAGAAGACTTGGCATTTGGTTTTGTGTAACAGAATACCTGCACAATCAGAGATAATTCCAATCATGGACAATTTGCCCAGGCATTATCCCTGTAAGTCTTTAATATGAAAACTCAGAAAAGTAGTATATTCACAACATTTTGGAGACTTACAATATTTAAAATTAAGTTGAACTGAGCAAGGAGAATTTGCTTTTGAGGCATTAGGCTGTATGTTACATAGTTTTGCGGTTGCTCATGATAACTTAAAGACCCTACAACTACAAAAGTCCTGTTTCTGACTGATCTTTATCTCGTTTTGGATGACTAGATTAACAGGTCAATCACTATTCAGATTTTCCAGTTCAGACCCAAGAATTCACTGCCTTGGATCCAAACCAGATCTGTATGCAGCATTACTCCCACGCTTAAATAAGAGGCCAGGAAGAAACCTTATTGTATTTTTAAAGAAGATGTAAGTTAAAAATCTAGGTGATGCTTAGCAATGTACTGCAAAAAGTGTTGGCAAACTGAATTTACAGTAACAAATTTTTATATTGCAAACACTAAATAAGTTAATTTATGTCAATATTAAATGCATTTTATAACAGTACATTTCCAGACCAATAGAAGTATTAGCAAACACCAATATATATACCCAGTTGAACAGTTACAGAGGAGAACACTTCCAATCATGGAATGGCCTGCTTTGGAAGGAACATTTAAAGATCATCTAGTTCAAGCCCCCTGCCATGGCAGGGACATCTTTCATTGAGTCAGGTTGCTCAAAGCCCCATCCAGCCTGGCCTTCAACACTTCCAGGGGTGAGGCATCCACAACTTCTCTGGGAAACCTGTTCCAGTGCCTCACCATCCTCATAATAAAAATATAGTAAAAAAATTTCTCCCTTATGTCCAAGTTAAATCTACCCACCTTCAGTTTAGAATCATTGCCCCTTGTCCTTTCACTACAGGCCTAGGTAAAAAGTCTTTCTCCATCTTTCTTTTAAGTCCCTTTTAAGTATTGAAAGGCCACAGTAAGGTCTCCCTGGAGCCTTCTCGTCTCCAGACCGAACAACCCCAAATCTCAGCCCGTCCTCATAGCAGAGGTGCTCCAGCCCTCTGATCATCTTTGTGGCCTCCTCTGGACTCGCTCCGAAAGCTACATGTCCTTCTTGTGTTAGGGACCCCAGAGCTGAAGGCAGTACTGCAGGGGGGGGGCTCACCAGAGAGGAGTAGAGGGGGAGAATCCCCTCCCTTGACCTGCTGGTTACGCTGCTTTTGATGCAGCCCAGGATACGAGTGGATTTCTGGGCATTTTTCATCCATGACTATCCCCAAGTCCTTCTCCTCAGGACTGCTCTCAATCTCTTCATCCCCCAGCCTGTATTTGTGCTTGGGTTTGCCCCAACCTATGTGCAGGACCTTGCACTTGGCCTTGTTGAACTTCATGAGGGTTCGCATGGGCCCACTCCTGAAGCCTGTCAGGTTCCTTTGGATGGCATCCATTCCCTCCAGTGAGTCAACTGCACCACCCACTGCAAAACGATGGATTCCTTTGTATCCTTTAAACCCAAAACTTAGATTTATCTTTGCAATACCTCTTACACTTAACAGTAGCGAGCAAAGAAAAATTAATTCTTTCCAGATAGTAGTATCTTGGCTATATCTCACTGAGATAGGCATTAAACAGAAGATGGCTTGTAGGAATTTGATGCCTGTTCGATGGCTGTTCTCTTAGTTTCCTTTTTGATGTTTAGTCTCATTGATGGGAAGAGTATAACAAAGAAAAGGGTGAGTGTGTACTACATGCCAATATCAATCCTTTCTCACAGTAGTGTAATCATTTCATTGATTAGGAGAGTGCTCAGATGATCAAAGAAGTGGAAGTGGATAAAGTGGTGGTGCTGGAAAAAGAACAAGTTGAAGCAATTAAGAAGCTCTGGGAAGACCCAGGAATTCAAGAATGCTACGACAGACGGAGGGAGTACCAGCTCTCAGACTCTGCTAAGTAGTAAGTACACTGCATAATTACAAGGATAAGCCAGACTTAATGAAGTTAATCATAGAATCATTTAGGTTGGAAAAGACCCTTAAGATAATCAAGTCCAATCGTTAACCTAACACTACCAAGCCCACCACTAAGTCATGTCCCTCTAAGCACCACGTCTACACTTCTTTTAAATACCTCCAGGAATGGTGACTCCACCAGTTCCCTGTCCAGCCTGTTCCAATGCTTGAGAACCCTTTCAGTGAAGAAATTCTTTCTAATATCCAATGGAAACCTCCCCTCATGCAACTTCAGGCCGTTTCCTCTTGTCCTATTACTTGTTACTTGGGAGAAGAGACCAACCCCAACCTCGCTACAACCTCCTTTTAGGTAGTTGTAGAGAGCGATCAGGTCTCCCCTCAGCCACCTCTTCTCCAGACTAAACAACCCCAGCTTCCTCAGCTGCTCCCCATCAGACTTGTGCTCCAGACCCTTCACCAGCTTTGTTGCCCTTCTCTGGACTCGCTCCAGCACCTCAAGGTCTTTCTTGTAGTGAGGGGCCCAAAACTGAACACAGCACTTGAGGTGCAGTCTCACCAGTGCAGAGTACAGGGGGATGATCACTTCCCTCGTCCTGCTGGCCACACTATTTCTGATACAGGCCAGGATGCTGTTGGCCTTCTTGGCCACCTGAGCACACTGCTGGCTCATAATGAAGAGATAGGTTCACCATGACTTTATTAGTCGTACCTGTATCTCTGCTGGCCTGTGGTACACAAAAAATTTTAAGCTGAAGTGATGAAACAAACTACTTTTACACTTTCTGGACATACTGGAACCATCATTCCTCCCAGTTCTGAAGTCAACACGGCTGGGACATAACTGAGTTTTGCTTCGGGAAAATCATGAAACAAAAAAACAGCTGCACAAAAAACATTGACAACAAATGGGCCCATCAGACAGTTCAGTTATGTGAAAAGTTTAGGATATAGATAAGAATTAATGTAAGTCTCCCTCACAATTTTGAAAGAATTTAACCGTGAAAAAATGATTGTTTCATGAGAACATTTCTGTTTCTACCAAGGTTGAGAAGTAACAGGGTTAAATTTCAGCAATGAACATTCAGATTAGGCATTTATGGTAAACTTTAAGTCAGAATGGTTACACATAGGCAATCTGTTCCTCTGTGTTAAGCTTTATCAATCTTGACAGATGTTTGTCTGCCATTTTCTTAAATAGTCGTACATTGGAGAAGAAGGATGCCACTTAATAGTCTATTGTAGCCTCATTTTCTAAGAAATCAGCCACAATGGAAAATCAGTTTTATTTTAGATTTTATTAAATCTTTCTTCTACTGTTAATTACAATTGAGATATCAATAGCAATTTGCTACATTGCTGGAGAGGAGGAATTTTCTTATTCTTAAGACAAAGCTTTTCTGAGTAAGTGATAACATTACATGTGAGTATTTCTTACTTTGGAGCCCAAATGTGAGGGATGTTTGGGCAGCAAGGAGAGAGTACATCGACACCCTCCCTCTTCCACCAAAGGAAAAGGAGGGAATTAGTGCTTAAATAAAGGAAGGTTTGTGGTACAATCGTGTTGTATGATTTGGAATACACCTTGCACTTTTTGTATGCCTTTTCAGGATTTCGGATGATCTGATGGTGCCTTCTAGTGGTGGGAAAATAGATTGCAGAAAGGAATACCAGGCATCGGTTCTTTGTGTCTTGCTCCTACACAGCTCATTTATTGAGGCACAGGAATGTCATCCTAAGAATTTAATCTCAGACATGAAAAGCACAAGAGTCTTGTGAAACTAAGGAGGATAAAGTTAAGAATGACTGCATGGGCAGATGTTAAACTAAGTGCATCCTCTTTCATATTAAAAATATTTAAATCTGAAGCATTCATGGTTGCAGTGATTTCCATTAATTACTTTTCTGATTCTGTCCAGCACCCTTTCACATTTGTGTGCAATAGTAGCATTGTGGATGAAGTGATAGGGGATAGAGTACTGTTGATAAACATTATGGCTAGGACTGATACTTATATTTGTGTTCAAATTTTAACTCTGATGTTTATTTTGGAGTAATAGCAAAGGTCATTCAAATAAAATCCATCATTTTGGGGCTGGGCTGATTGTCTATAGAACGTTCAGTCATCATCTCTTTTGACTAGTATTAATCTGTCTGAAATGTACATGCAGGTCTCAGTTAATGTAAAGGGTTTTACTGTTTTATGCCAGCAATAGTTGCGCTAAGGCCATGCACAAATGAATTTCTGTTTAGCTGCTTTTGTGGGAACACTTCTGTGTTTGCTGGTTGGTACTCTGGTTTTGAATCTGTGTGCTTAATTTATGATAGTGCATTAACCTTGTTTCTGTTGCATATTTAACTTTTCAGTTACCTTACTGATCTTGATCGTATTGCTATGCCCTCATTTGTGCCAACTCAGCAAGATATCCTTAGAGTCCGAGTGCCAACTACAGGAATTATTGAATATCCTTTTGATCTAGAAAATATTATATTTAGGTAAGACTGCCTGTCAGCTGATTCAGTATACAATTATGAAAGTAGTTGCTGCAACTTTACTTCTAAGGTCCTGTAAGCTTTTGCATTCAATGAGCGTTTTATGTGTTTCCAGCCCTTTTAGTCTCCAAAGTTGATACAGTAGCTTCAGTGGTTTCAAAACATTCCTTTTTTAAAATTTACATTACATGAAAAAAGCTTTTCAATTCAAGCAGCTCAATTACTGTGTATTCTCAACTATTATTTAATTAAAAGCCTTGGATGGGGTGGTCCAGAGGCAAGGTGTTTGTAGTAACCTGAGTGCTCATATCGGAATGCAGTTTAATTCCATTTAGAGCCAATAGTTTCTGCCTCCTGACTCTAACTGTTTGGAAGAGAGGGCCCTAAGAGATATGCTAAAGCCCTCAAGTGAGTTTACAGCTTTCAGTTAGATAAAGTTAGGGAACGGAGTTGGGAGACGCTGAGGGAAGAAGGAGGAAAAAAAAGAGATGGAGGGTCATGACAGTAGATACGTCTGTTCTTCCTGGTATATAATATTAAAAAAAAAAAAAATTATGTTTCGAGAAGCAAACATAAAGTTGAAAGAAAGTCTGAGAAGCACCTTAGAATTATCTGCTACTAGACAAACTGTTGCAACAGGTGGGGTTACTGATTTTCTAAGGGAAAGCACTTTTTTTCTAGTTTAAAATTGCAGAATTCACACTAGCATGATTGTAGATGTTGTTCCACCAAACCACCCATTTCATCATGAACAAACACCTGCCTGCAGTTACAACACAGGACCAGAATCCATTTTGATAACACATGGTCAAACCAGCCCAACTGTGATTTTGTTGTTTGGTTTTTCCTGGAAAATGAAATGTTCTATGGACCACTTTGACATGGATAAAACGTGAGGGACTTACTTAACTGTCTCCAAAACCATAGGAATTTGATGTGGAATTTAAGATATTTGTGAGCATTTTATTTTGAGTAGTGAGATATGACTACACTGCTTTTTCTTGGGGGGCGGGGAGGGGGAGGGAGATTTCAGAGTGTGTGGGGAAATAAAAATTGAATGTGCTTACATCTCCCCTTGCTAAAACGTCTACCAACATGGAAAAAAACCCCAGCATTATATTTTGTGTTATGCCTGAGGTGGCTTATAAAATTGTACTGGGCCTGGCTAGGATAAAATTAATTTTCTTCATAGCAGCTGATATGGTGCTGTGTTTTAGATTTGTAACCAAAACCAGTACTGATAACATACCAGTGTTTTAGCTTTTGCTGAACAGTGTTTGCACAGTGCCAAGGCCTTCTTTGTTTCTCTGCCCCCCAGTGAACAGGTTGCGGGGTGCACAAGAGGTTGGGAGGGGACACAGCCAGACAGATGACCAGAACTAACCAAAGACATATTTCACACCATATAACATCACGCTTAGTGATAAAAGTGAAAAGAGGGGGCTTTAGGGAGGTTGGCCATCCTTTTCTCAGGAACTGGTTGTGCATCGGTCTACCCACAGGAGGTGGTGAGTGATGCTTTCGCATCATTTATTTTGTTTTCTTTATCCCTTCTTCCACTTACCCTTCACTTAATAAACAATTATTTTTTTTTTAATCTCAACCCCCAAGTTTTCTTGCTTTTAGTCTTTCCTCTCCCCCTGTCCACCCACAGTGTGTGGGAGGGTAGTGAGCAAGCAGCTGTGTTGTGCTTAGCTGCCCACTGAGGTTAACCCACAACAAAACTGAACAGCGGAAATTGTAGCACTACAGCAAGTGAATAGAGTTTAAATATTAAATAGAACATACAGTGTTAAGATGATACACTTTTTTCACAGTTCAAGCTTATCTCAGGTAGGCGATCTATTACAAGGCCTTTGAATATACTTTAAGTATCTTATGAAAATGACTAATATGTTGACTGTACTTCTGTTTAACAGGATGGTGGATGTAGGTGGCCAAAGGTCAGAAAGAAGGAAGTGGATCCACTGTTTTGAAAGTGTTACTTCCATCATTTTCTTAGTTGCATTAAGTGAATACGATCAAGTCTTGGCAGAATGTGACAATGAGGTAAGGAGATGGGTACAGAAAAAGATGTGTGCTTTTTAAGAAAGACAACATTCACATCTTCATAAAAGCATTTGTAAATACTAGAATTACATTAAGAAGCTGATCAAGCAGTCCCGAAGTTGTATTAAATTAGCAGCCTGCGTGTAAAAGTGTACTCTACCTTAAGAGACAAAACATGATTTGAAAATGTTTTAAATCACTTAAGCCATGTCAAAAGCTTGAGAATTCGAATATCAGGAATATCTCTTAAGCAAGTAAAACTACCTCAGTCATCGGTAATTAGGTTTTCTGTTAGTTTTTTAAGTCTCTGGTGTTTCAGAATTAACCTGTCCATTAACTGAGGAAAATTAAAACAAAATAACTTAAAATTTACCTCCTTCCCAAGGTTAGAAAACATATGATGAGTTCTTCCATCTGTTCTAGCGTGCTGTCGTCAGCAGTAGCCAGATGTTGTAAAGAAGGATGCAAAAAAAGAAAACAGTATGCAATTACGGAAAAGTGTATTAGTGGAACTGCATTACTTTTACTTTAGATCCTGCAGTATGAGGATTCCTTCAAATGTCCTTCAAAAATGCTTAAAACTATTTGAGCTCTGAAGTCCCAAAGCCCTTACAGACCACTTTCTCAAGATCTGTTTGAACTGGGAAAAGGATATCCTACTTCACTTGCTGAAGTGTCACAACATCCATTGTAGTTGAGATAGTTTTCAAAATTTCCTGTCATCTTTTGATGCATGAACAACTTTGGTAACTGTAATTTTCTTCTTTCTTTCACTATCTTGATCATTTTGTTATACTCACTTTGGCTATTAGGAAATAAATAACAAACTGACTGCCATCACAAGCTTATCCCCAGGAACTCCAAACAGCAATCTCTGAGTATGGTGTTCCTCAGATCTCTCTTGAAATGGACAGACTTTATTACTAGTATAGATGAATACATATGCTCTTGTCATTTAGCTATGTTACAGTATGTTAATATCAAATATTTGACCCAATACACCCTGCTGCAGCTCTCACTGTGAGGTCAGAACAGGCTTTCATAAAGCAGCAGTTCATGGCTGCTCACTAACTCATACAAGAATTCAAATAATTTCTATTATTAAGGCTCATCATGATTTCACATGCCATCATGCCATCACGCCATTCATAGTGGTGATCCAAAACTCCGTGAATAAAAGGATATAGAACATAAAGAGTAATGATCAACCACTGCGTTGCAATTGCGCTTAATAAAAGGAGTATTTTTTTAAAAGCTTTCAAAAAAAGCTTTTATGGTCTCTGGCTGATGTGATTTGTATATGCTACTGTCTAGAGAGTGTAACTTCATATTAATTTTTGTTGTTGTAGAATCGAATGGAAGAAAGCAAGGCCTTATTTAAAACTATCATTACATATCCGTGGTTTCTGAATTCTTCAGTCATTTTATTTTTAAATAAAAAAGATCTTCTAGAAGAGAAAATCATGTATTCTCATCTAATTAGTTACTTTCCAGAATACACAGGTAAGCATTTATCCCACACTAACTTCACAAAGCTGAAAGTCATACTTAAACCAGTTAGTTTTTCCTCATTAAATTGCACATGGAAAGTGGACTTACGCAATATATTTGATATCTGTGCTTTTCTACTCTATCCTTTAAAATACAAACTTAAGTTAGTTTTACTGGAACTTTGTTTTTTTACTGGAGCCTTATAGACAGTCTTAAGAGATTTCTTGCAGCCACTCTTACCATTTGAGTGGTACAATCACTATTTATTTATGAGAAGCAGCACCTTTTTCATCTTCGATCTCAAGAGACAAGATATGGGGGAACTTGGGGAATACAGCTATTAACACAACTACTTATATAGTAAAAACCCATAGTGTAGTTTTGCATTCATTATTATTACTTGTTATCTATATAAAAGTCCAAAGTTAAAAAGCAGGCTGAATAACTTTCCATAACAAATGTTACTGGTACTTAAAGTCACCAAAATAATGATGAAAATAATCACATATGGATTCCATTACTTAATACAGTATTATATTCTACAAGACATGTATCATGTTGAATCTGCCAATTAATAATGAAAAGAGTTATAATGATTTAATAGCTATAGAGAAAACAGACGTCCCTCGTTCGGCCAAAAAGTATCCTGTTCACTCTGTGTGTTTTAGAAAATTCCGTTTCTCTCATGGTCTTTGACATACTACAGTAATTTAGCAAACTATTAATATATGCTGGATAATTTCAGTTGCGTAGGTTTTTATAAAAAATTACTTTGACTTGTAAGGTTTACCAATGAACAAAGCATACTCCACACATTTTAGAAAGCAGTCTTGTAAGAGCTTTTGCTCCGCTAACGTATGAATGAGAAAATGCCAACAAGAGAGTATGCCTTTATGGTGATTTGACATTTAAATATGGAATTAGCCTGTTAAGGTACTGTCCATATGTTTCTTCCTTGACCCATAGCTTTTAACTGTTCAAATCCACTAATTGTACTTTCAACTAGGACCTAAACAAGATGTCAAAGCTGCCAGAGACTTCATTTTGAAGCTGTATCAGGATCAGAATCCAGACAAGGAGAAAGTAATCTATTCCCACTTCACTTGCGCCACAGACACAGAAAATATTCGGTTCGTCTTTGCTGCTGTCAAGGACACGATCCTGCAATTAAACCTGAGGGAGTTCAACCTGGTTTAAAGAAAAAACATGGCTCCAGCCACAAAGTGTGGCTTACTCAGCACAGCCTGTGTTGATGAAAAAAAAAAGGTGTCTTCTTAAATACCATTTACAGAAATGGGAGGAGGATTTATATTTACTGAAGAAGTATGGATTAAGAGAACTTTAAAGAATGAATTTCACAGTTTATTTTTTAAGTTATATATTTAAAAGATTGTGTTTATATCTCCCATATTAGTTTTGTCTGTGAGTTATTTTTTGACAGCTGTGGGAATTAAGAAGAGGAATGTACATAACTACATTGCTGTCCAGCTGGTATTTTCTTAAGATTTTTCTTTTTTTCCTTCCTTTTTTTTTTGTTTGTTTTTATTTAGCATTTACAATCATAGTTTATAAAATTTCAAACAGTGATGCCTTAAAAATGACAAGTTAGTGTTATTTTAGGGTGCTAGATATTTTTATATTCTTGTTCTAAGCAATGTAGTTGAAAGATTAAGGTAAACCTATTAACTTTTTAGAAGCGTCTCTCAGTAGCCTTGATAGGCCAAACCCATTAATGTTGTAAGACTCATTACAAAAGATTAATTATTGGTCACCCTTGCGTATCACTGCCTTTTTGTTCAAGTGCCTTACAATAATAAAATACCTTTCACAATTAAGGAATGACAAGATCCTGTACGCAGTCCATAGAATTTACTTTTTTCTGAAGGGGAAAAGCATTTCTCAAACAGAAAGGCATTTAGCAAATATTCTCAGCGTTCACTGCCATGGGAGCTCAGAGATCACCCACAGCTGCCTGCGATACACTAGGCCTTAAATTTGTCCAAGTCACTACCATAACTTGATTTTCGCACTTTGCATTTTCCTGTGATTGAGCTTCACAGGTAGCTTTGGATGGATTAGAGAGCAGTAAAGCCTCTCCTCTAGAAGATTTCCAGCCATTTTCACATCTCTTCGTTACCTGCCCAACTACAAACCTCTCCACTAAAGATGCCAGCATTGCTAATAGCTCAGTCAATTCGCCTTCACTGGGTCAAAAATTATCAGACAAGATAATAAAGACATTAGGGCAAGCTTGAAAACATTTTTTATCTATGCAAAATTAGTGGTAGTCACTGGCACTTGATCAGCTAACCCAGCAACACTGGTAAGGAGAGTGTTTTAGTAGGAGAACAGTAATTCAGCTCAAAAGATGTGCTGAGGTTCTCCTGTATTTAAATACATGAAAATTTTCCCCGGAGGAAATATTATAGCAATAGTTTTTACTATCAGTATAAAATATCAATTTCTATGCAGCACAGAAAAAATTCAGGTTATACTGATTTTTCAGCTTGAGTAGTGCTTCTGTGTATTCAGCCAGGTCGCTCGCTCTCACAGTTCAGTCCTGTGAAAAACAGCACACCCTGATCTTTCACTGCCCATAAAACATGTTTACCGTTTCACATATTAAACAGCACAGTTCCCCTTTGTCCAGCAGTACAGAAAAAGGAAAGTATGTCCAGAGCTGGTTTTGGTTGCTAAGGAGAAAACAGTGTCTAACATTTGATTCATTTGTTCCTTCTTTAGTGTTGGAACAAGCAGTAGAAGCCTGTTCTTACACTGCTCGTAACTTTTTTCTGTGTGGGAAGGACGCTGACCTGTACATTGTGACCATACCAGTGAATGGCAGTGATCAACACTGAAGGCACAGTGCAGTACGCCCTGGGATGAGGTACGGGGTACAGTGCCGCTTGCTGAACAAGAAGCGGCCATGGGGGAGTGACAGAAAGCACGGAAAAAACCAGCCTGTCTGTGTGCATGTCATCCATATCCCCGACATGTCATCTCTACCCTCCCTCAGAAGTACAGACATTCTGACAAGTCCTGAGACCTGTTGTCCTAACCTAACCACTGTTGCTCAAAAAAAAAAAAAAAAAATTGAAAAGCATTTCTTGTCATAAAATCTGGAGACACTGGAGTTTTACATTACTTAAGACTTTCCAGTCACATGAAAAGAAGACTACAAAAATGCTTTTTTCAGGGCAGCAGATTTGATGGACAAAAGCAGAGAAAATGCCCAAACACTTGAATTGCTTGATCCAGTTTTGAGCCCCCTGGAAACGGCTGGAAAAATGCCTGTTTAAACTCCTAGGCATTCATATCTTGAGTCAAGATTTGCTGTCTATGTTAAGAGCACATTGGTGCTATGAATTCAGGAGCCTGGCTTTGCTGGAGTACAAACTTTGCAGATTGTAAGACAGTTACCATTTTACAGGACCATTCAGTACACGAATGCTTTTCTTTCACGCCTCACAACCAACATTTAAAAACATTCAAGAGTGCAGTTACGAAGACAAACTTCTGCACATAGTTCTCATTCTGCTTGATGTAACAAGAAATTAAGTCCACAAAGATAAAAAACTGAGAGAAATCAGTTTTTCTTCCTTTTTGCTTATTAGTGTCCTATCTCACCATGCCTGTCCGACAGTCACATTTGTTTCAGCCTCTGATGTACTGATCCAGAGATCATGAGTTAATAAAAGTTAATGGCATGGACATTCTGTCACGCCTTGTAGAAGGAGATGTAAAGGCCAATTTACTCCTTCCTTGAGGTATTGCAAGAATATTTAGAATTCTTGTTCTAGATTTGCCCTGAAAACAATCAAAACCTCTTTATAAAAACCCTGTGTCTGTTTTGAGTGGAACTTTAGATCCTTAGATCCCACTTGCAGTCACAAAGCAAAAACTGTGACCAAGATCACAGTTGCATTTCTTAGGTTAAATAACAAAGCTCAGGCTCCTGTGTGATGCATGTATGTATTTGCATATACTGGCCAGAAAATTCCTAATTAATCTACCAGTAAGAATAACAAGAAGCAAATCTTGACCGAATAATGTAGGCAGGAAAAAAAGGTGTCAGCTAGCTAATTTGTTCAGTTTTAGACAGAAAAGATTAAGGCATTCAAGAATCTGTCCTGGTTTGGCTAAAACAGG